AGGGAAAAAAGAGATAGCAAGGAATGCCGAGTGCGCCTTAACTATGATAAGCTTGTTATCAGTTATCAAGGGAAAGACGTTCGTGTGGGACAGTGAAATGAACCAACCTGTACCACTGCATGCACATGCGCGATCACAAGAAGCCGACTAACGTGACGTCAGTCATCGCAGAACTGGGAGAATCGATACTTCAAACACCTGCGGGCACATACCACTGCTTCTTGTGAACTGTCGAAGTATTAATAATAAAGTTGACGTCTTTGCGTCCCTTGTGGCTACTCAAGCAAAAATTATTATGGGTACAGAATCTTGGCTGGACAGAGCGATACCTGATACTGAGGTCTTCCCACATGGCTTCACTGCTTATAGGAAAGATAAAAATCGTCATGGTGGGGGCGTATTTATTCTTGTAGCGAACGAGTGGACTAGCGAGGAAGTTTCTTTCCACAATTTTGCCGAGGCAGTTTGGTGCCGTTTTTTTTTTACCGAAGGGAAATACTGTCATGTTTGGTTGTTTTTGTCGACCACCAAACAGTGGTGATACTCCTATGACACTGCTTTTTGAAATGGTACAGTTAATTCCAGACAGTGTACTCCTGAGTGGAGATTTCAATCTACCAGATTTTGACTGGATAACCAGTGGTACACAAAACAGGTCGTCAGGGTATACTTTGTTTGGCGAATTCTTGAGAGTGTTTGGTTTTTGTCAATATGTGAATATTCCAACGAGACATGATGCCATTCTGGATTTAATATTATGTAATGACCCAAAAATTGTTGCCACTGTGTCGGTGATTCCTGGTATAAGTGACCATAAGGCCATTGTGGCAGATTTAAAGATAGAATACTGCCAAGTAACACAGGCAATACCCCGACAAATTTTCCTGTATGAACAAGGTGAGTACGATTCTGTTTCTGTAGAATTAGAGTTGTATTACCCAACATTCTTGCTTTTGGCAGAAAGTCGTTGCTTTTTAGCTCTGTGATCTTATTTTCCTGATAAGCTACTTCACGCAGTTGAAGCTCATGTACCAAACAGAATACTAAAGAAGAGAACAAAACAAAAGCCTTGGTTTAATAAAGACATTTGCAGGTTAATTAGGAAAGTACGAAGTTTGTACAGAAAATTTCGCGATAGGAGTACCACGTCTAATGAACAAGAGCTTAGGCATGCAAACCTGACACTGAAATCGGCAATAAAAACAAGGAAGGATACTTTTTTTTTGCCCAATTAAGCGATAGGTTAAAGCAAAACCCGAAAGAGTTCTGGAAGTATGTTAAACAAAATAGAAAAGACGATATAAGTATTCCTGCTTTGACCGTGGAGGGTGATACTTTGTGCACCGATGAAGAAAAGCTGAAGCTTTTAACAACTATTTTCAATCAGTTTTTACTCAAAGCACTTCTGGCGATGTGGGGGCGCTTCCAGTCACGTGGCCTTCCATGAAAGACGTGGAGGTTGACATTACTGGTGTTGATTGCTTGTTACGGCAGATAGATACAACTAAAGCAGTTGGACCAGATGGTTTATCACCATTTGTTCTTAAAAACTGTCACAGCGTTATTGCAAAGTATTTATGCGTTATATATGAAATTACACTAAATACTGGAGTTGTCCCACATGACTGGAAAGTTGCAAACGTTATCCCGGTTCATAAATCAGGTGATAAAAAGCTTGTCGAAAACTACAGACCCATCTCGCTAACAGCAATTTGCTGTAGTTATTTGAGCACATCATATACAGTGAAACAGTTAAACACCTAGAGTCAATCAACTTCCTCACTCCATCTCAGCATGGTTTCAGAAATAGATGCTCATGCGTAACTAAACTAGTTGAATTTCAGCATTACATCGCACAATCTATAGACAGTGGCGCTCAAGTAGATGCAGTGTTCCTTGACTTCCGGAAAGCCTTCGATACTGTCCCACACAATCTGTTAGAATTTGCAATGCTCTCTGCAAACATAAACCTTAAAATTATCAATTGGGTAAAGAACTATCTAAACGATCGACAGCAGAACGAAGTGCTCAACGGATCAAAATCATCTGCGCAGCAGAACGAAGTGCTCAACGGATCGAAATCATCTGCGGTAACCGTTACGTCCGGTGTACCACAGGGGAGCGTATTAGGACCTTTTCTTTTCCTGATTTATATTAATAGCATAGTTGATGGTATTACCTCTCCCATTAAGTTATTTGCAGATGATTGTGTAGTGTTTAGGGTGATTAAATCGCACAAAGATGCTGAAATTCTGCAGCAGGATCGGTACCGAATATCAACGTGGTGCCAAAAATAGAAAATGAGTCTAAACGTCCGTAAGTGTTGCTGTGTATCATTCACCAACCGGATTAGTAAACTAGACACAACACACGAAATAAATAATTCAATAATTAGCAATGAATCCTATTATAAGTATCTGGGCGTCTATTTTTCCGACAATTTCAAGTGGAATAAACACATTGACATAACTGTGACCAAGGCAGGCCGGATGCTATACTTCATATGCAGAAATTTTAGGCAAGCTTCACAGACCGTGAAACAAACCCTTTATCTCATGTATGTAAGACCTATTCTAGAGTATGCTTGCATAATCTGGGATCCCCATCAGCAATACTTGATTGACGCATTGGAAAAAGTTCAAAACCAAGCAGCCAGATTTGTTAGCAACATCTATAATTCCTTTGCAAGCATCACAGAAATGAAACGAGCATTGAAATGGGAGACACTGATGGTAAGGAGGCAGAAACTCGGGCTTAAATTTCTTAATTGTATATATTATAATGGAAATGCCATTAACCCTCTTGATTATCTGTTCACACCAACGTACGTCTCTAATCGTCAAGACCATTCAAGAAAACTATTAGAATACCGTTACAAAACCCACTCTTTCGCTGGTTCTTTTTTTCGTAAAAACAATACAGGAATGGAATCGTCTACCGGATGATCTCGTCGATGAAACTGATAATGAATCTTTTTTTTCTTTATTGTAACAACTCCTACAATATCACTGCCACTAAGAATTGTTTGCTATCTCGAAGCGTGTGGATGTTTACAAATGCATGACTGTGACGTTTCGCTCACCAATATTCGAGTGTTTTTTTTTTTTCTTCTCTTAAAATATTTTTAGTGCTGTTTTATTTGTTGAATCTATTGTTTCGGTTGAAAAATATGTAGTCAAATTATTATGTGTACCTCCCCTACGTAATGCCTCACGGCGATGTAGATGAAATGTAAATAAATAAATAAACAGTGTCAGAAAAAGCCGGCCTGTCGTACTGCCTTACAAGCACGACGTCTCACACAGGCTAAAAAAGATTGCTCGAGACGCCAAGGTTCTTGTGGTTTTTTCTGCACCAGAAAAATTACAGAGGCTTTGCAAACGGGTCAATGCACCTCGTGCAAATTCTGCCTCCTGCTCTGTCGTGCACAGGACACGCTGCGTCCCATGCGCAGTGGGAGTCGCTTACTTGATTCCTCTGACGTGTGGGTGCATCTATGTCGGGCAAACCGGCAGGTGCATAAATGACCGCCTCCGAGAACACCGAAACAATGTGCACAATGTGGTACAAGGGCATCTTGGCATTCATTGCCGAGATTGTGGGTGCACCGCTCTCTTTTATCAGTGCTCAATATTGGCAAGGCACAGGGACCAGCTTACCCGAGAAATTATCGAAGCCGAAAAAATACACTTGCTGGGAGATAAATATGTAAGCACATTATTGATTGCTTTATCACAGGCTAAACGTGATTACCTGGCTGGGCTTTGAGGCAATAGCGGACCCGTCACACGTGTTTTGTTAGTGATGTGTAGATTAGGCTTGCATTTTACCTTCATGCTCTGTTATCATCCTTTTTAGCAGTATATATTCTTGCCACTCTGTGAAATAAAGTTAGTTGGAAGTCAGTGCTCTTTCTGTCTACCCTGTCCCTTTTCCTTTGTTCACGCGCTGAAACATCTTGCAAATTTGTTCAGTTAATTGGAACCACTTAGAAATGCACAATTTGCAGTCAGCCGCGGGACAGAGTCTGTGTGCGCCAGGTTCTATCAAAGCTCAATCGGACTTTAACATGACAGTTGTGAGTGCCGCAGCTGCCACGAGGCGCCACTCTAAGTTGGTGCAGTGGTTTAACTTGGCGCCCTTTTGTCATCCCTCCCTGTGTAGCTGGGACGAAAGAAGAGAGACTTTGAGAGCAGGCACACAACCTTGCTGCACTCCTTTGTGCAGTCCTCCTCTTATTGAACTATACTAGTACTATTTGATAGAGCTTTATTAAAAGACATGTCATGAACACCTTTCCTTTTGTTTGTTACTTCCCTTACTCTCCCAACATTTTTCACTCTGGGAGCTGTTTGTGTCGATTGCACGTTTTCATGATCTGATGTCTGAAAAAGTGGTTATGTTCTGTGCAGTTGGAACAAAGCAAGAAAACAGAGGAAGGCTGCTGACACAACCACAGTGCAACCTTTGGCAATAATAAAATAACCTGCACCTATGCCGCCATGTGGGTATGTGGACCTCGTTCCGAGGAAAGGCTGTTTCCTTATGGAAACAACCTTAAGAAAAGGTTGTTCATTAACACTAAAAAAAAAAAAGGCCACAATTACACAAGCAATGTAGTCAATGAATACAAAGGTCTGTGTTTGGTCCTTCCACATACTAAATGGAGTGGACTCATGTTTGAAAAAAGTGTGCAAAAGTCCACAACACGAAGAAGACAGGACAACGTATAGTAGTACGTTGTTCTGTCTCATTGCAGTGTTCTTACGCTTTTTTCAAACATGAATTTGCACCAACTTGCCCATGCTAGTGCAGTGGATGTATCTCTTGTGCTGTTTGACAGACTCGGTGTGCATTTTGCAGACGCTCCATGTTTAGTTGTTGAAATGATGCTACTGAGAAATGACAAAGTACCGACCAGGAATGAGGTAGGATAAACTGCAGAAAGCAGTGGCCAATTCGATGTCCCAGGCTACTCAAGCACTAAGCAGTACACGGCGTGCTGTTCCAGGATTCTTTATTGTATGTACAGCAAGTAAAGGCAGATAGAGAACTACATTAGACAAACTTAACACTTTGCAGCATCAGGCCTTGGTGATGTGCGGCACCTTAGAGAGCATGTCATCCCCGGTGCAGGACAAAGGCCTCTTCTTCCTCTCATCTTTTGCCCACCTAACTTTCTGCCTTGTGCACTCATTTCCAAGTGCTGACTGTACAAAGAAGGTTTAGAAAGGGATGAGACTACGGAGCACAGATTTCCACCTGGTTTTGTTTCGATAAAATAGTGCATATATGCAAGGCAAGGGAGAGGTGTGAGACAGAAAAAAGAGGATGGACAAGTGTTCACATCGTCGCCACATTGCCCGAGATGCTTCAAGTGTGCCATCAAGTATGCCCAGCCAGGCAACCAAGTTTTTCATATAAAAGTGCAATAGAGGGTGTGCTAATGCACCTATCACCCAGCTGATGTAATAAGCTCAGATTCGATGAATGAGACAGAGCTGAAGCCTATGCCTCACTGTTAATTTTCTCTGATAGAAAGCGGGCAAAAAGGCAACACAATAAGTTGCCCTATACACGTACACACATATATATTTATTTAAGCAAGTGGCCTGAAATCCGTTTCAGTGTTACTTTCTCATGATCTTTCCGTGCGCACTCACTAATTTTGTTGACATAATGCTTTTTTTCAGGAAGCAATAACTGTTACTACACACACAAACTTGTATTAGCGCTGAGGTATTGCACGATTTGACGTACCAGGCTTGTGTGTGCATATATTCGCAATAAACTCACAGGAACCTACCATTTGTAGATGAGTTGGTGCTTTTCAAGAATGACATCAAATGCAAAAGAAAAAAATTGAGAACTTCAAGGGCACAAAAATTTTCAGCTTTCTCTTGGCAAATGAAACACTAAGCTCACACGAGCTTAGAAGAAGTACTGGTAAGCATGAGTGCACTGAACAATTAATTACATGTTTTTGAAAGTTAGTTTGGTCTCTCATGTACCCTGATGTCAACACAGTATAAGCTTTTCATGTTCATTTCTATGGCTGCTCCACTTAATCGCCTCATTGGTGACATGCGAGCAGCCATTTTGTCTACTTAAGTACCTGACATTGTCACAACTAGCCATACTGGTGCATGCAGCCGATATAACTGGTACTGTCCCCTCACGTGCTAGTGGCAATGTGAGTCAGCAGGTGCACCTTGTGAAAATTGACTTCAGTCAAGACGGAGGTCAAAATAAAGTAAGCATCACACTCGCTCAGAGCTACATATGCAGGAGATATGCGTGATGGAGTAAAGTCAGCTTCAAAAATAGGTGCCGGTACATTTTGACACTAAGAAAGTATTAATGCGATAACGTTAAAGAGCTTGTATCGCAGAAATTCCGGCATCGTCATCTGTGTCGTTGGTGGTGAGCAAAAAAATAATCTTATGCGTGACCAAAAAATTGAGAACGATGCAAATAAAATAAATAAAATCCTGCAGCAGAGTGGGGACCGAACCAGGGTTGTTTGGGTCCAAGTGGGGATCGAAACCGGATTGTTTGCATGGCAAGCGGATGTTATACCACATGGCTACGCCTCTGCTTGTGAAAACAGTGAAAAAAACTTCCTCTGCTTGAAAATGCACTGAAAGTAACTTTCATGCTTCACAAACTCATGCATCCTGTATACATGCTTCACAATGCAACATGAAATATTGTAGTTATAATGCATGGTACAAGGGTCCATTGCCAATGGGCATCAGAAAATGTAATCATTATATTGGCTTCGTGGTTGCAAGCCGATACCCCACTACAAAAGGCACACACAGGCTACTGCGCCTATATTCCCTTAAGGCTACGTAGTGGGTGCATAGCAAATTCGAAAAGGTTTCATATACTAAGTGTTTGAAGTACGCACTAGTAACAGAATGTCACTATCGCATTCAACTCCTAAAGGCAGCACTTTAGGGTCCCACAATTTTTAAAATGCTGCAGTGAAGGCTCAGAAGCCTGGCAAAAGACAGAGTCCATAAATGGGAAACAAGCCTTAAAGTTTGCACAAGAATATGTATATTGAAGTGGTTTACCAACAGGGTAGCTTACTCATGAAAAGAAAATCCACTGAAGGATAAGGATTGGCTGGAGCCCATAAAGTGCCTCAAGTAGGAGAATGCGAGTCTTGCCGTAAGTGAATTGTGGAAGACTCCATCTAGCAGCAGTTTGAAGAGATTTTACAGGAGGGTCTGGGCGAATAGAGCATTTATCGTGTGAGGAACAAGCTGCACTTAGTCATCTCGCATCAGCAACATATGTGATAACTGGCTCGCTCAACAGCACTATGGAAAAGAAAAAAAGCACATCAACATAGCTGCATTTTCCTTCTCGGCCTCTGAAAGAAGCCAGTGTGCAACAAATTCTACAAATTGAAGATAGCCCTTCCAGGAGCAACAAATACTGACACGCAAGCCAATTTGTATGGCTTCATGTTTTAATTCTGGCTTTTAAATATTTAGCAGTGGTCAAACGAGAGAAGTTGCTGACAGTAACACTCTGGCCTTGAGTCGGTCAGAATGCAGGTAAGACTTTGCATCAAAACGTTGCTTATGGCAGCATCTTTCATTTTATCGCTTAGGGTCTCTGGCTTCCTGTCTTGTTGAGCCATAAAACAGCAGACGTCATGAGTGATCTGCATGGTTGTTATGAATGAGCTAGTGCATGTGCGTAGCTTCCATTCCTTCTTCAAACGGCGGCCGGAGGTGCAACTTCTGTGCTAGCAGGCTGCTTCAGTGTAGAGCAAGTTGAAGCAGCTACGTCTGCCCGAGATGGCCCTCGCCCATGTAGCCAGCAGCCAGTCCCACCTGTCCTTCGCTGATGGTGGCTGCGGGGGTCTGTCCCAGGCGGGTCTCCAGTCCTTGCCATGTCCGGTTCATGAGGTACTCACCTGCACAACAGAAAAAAGGCCAGGCAACTGCTTAGCACCTGCCCACAACTCTAGGTGCACTTTTATTGTAATAGGTGCCATGTTAATATAACGAAATATAACGAAATATTCGCTATAACGAAGTAAATGAAAAATAGTGTTAGGAATATACCTTTATAACGAATTTTCAGATATCTTACTTTTGTGTAAGGTGCAACTTTGTTACTATGAAGTTTGAGACCTTAACTCTTTCGTTACTGCACAAAAATGCTTGTTTCGCACATGCAGGAAGATCCTTTTTGCCAGTTTGAAAAGTTCTCCAGCACGCATTGCAGCATACCAAACTTTCAACAATGAAATGCTCTTACCAAAAAATATGTGTTGTTGAGCAACAAAAATATTTTTCAATAAATAAAAATGTCCAGTGTACAATATTTAGTCACCAGCTGGTAAAGAGCGGAATAAAAAATACTAAATGTGCAAAAATATTCAAGACAAAAAAAATTCAGAATATACATTATGTAGAATGATGACCCAGGAACAGTATAAAAAAATAATCAATGTTGTACAAAATGTTTCTCTTCACATAGACTAAAAAAATCTGAACCGAGGTGCAGCCTCGTTGCTCGTGCTATGCGGTGAAGCATTGCATCGTTTTTCGTGAGACACAAGTGTGTTCGTAGACTTTTCTCAGTAAATTTTAGTTATCTTGCGATAAAAGTCTCTAGGTGTTTCAATATAGATAGATACCCATGATGTGAATAATCCATTTACAATTTAGATGTCCAATGAACTTCATTATTTCATCTAGCGTCACCTATTTCCATGAGCCACCTCACACCGCATAGTTTGGCATTCCAATATATGCATCGAAGCACATATTTTCTGGCCTTTTTGTGCATATAATATTAAAAAAGGACAATATCACGTGCAGTTCTAAAACGTTTTGCACTGCTCCGTAGTCAGGGCCAAGATGTGCTCCGGGGGCCTTCTTGTCGTTAGCTGTGCAGCCAGCACCAGCAATCCGCGCCCCAGCAAAGTGTGGACCGCGCACGTAACCACACTAGCTATAAGATTGTGCACCAAAGTCTAAAGCTATACACGCTTGCAGTGGAGGAGACAACTTGAGGATGTAAACAGAACAAACCCATGAACGGCTGCGGATGTCTCAGGCTGACGTAAAACATCGTCACCATAAAATTTGAAGCTGTGGTGCTGTCATCCTCGAACTATAGGCTCGTCTTCACTCAATTCAGGTGGAGTTGCAAGACAGTTTCAAGCACAGTATATGTTTTGAAGTGCTGGTGGGCACCCATGAGTTTACCATTACCAGAGTTTGAATTATCGCCAGTCTACTGCATGTATTATCCGCCTCAAATGAAACTCGAACATCGGTAACTCTTCGCGATGATATAGTGTGCGGTGTCCACTTATCACCATGGACAGGCACGCATATATGCACAGAGCTGCCGAACCACATGCGTGTGCTTGTAAATGGTGATAACTGGACCGTGAACACTATACCATGGCAAAGTCCTGCCACTGTTCGGGTTTCATTTTACGCAGATAGTACTCACTATTGAAAAAACTTCAAACAACCTTCATTTCTTCACATGCATTTGTCAATAATTGTATCACAATTGAAGGCTGCTTAAGATAAAAGAAAATGCATGCACTAAGCTTGTGCTGATGGTGCACGAAACAAAGGAATTTGGAGATACGAAAGAAGGGACAGCACGAGCACTTGCATGGCACATTTTTGTCCCCGTATATTTGGTACAACATTCACGTACCTGCTCATGCATTGAAACATGACAATTTACGAAGGGCTCATCCTTTGCACTGTCTTCAGTTCATACCACACTGGTATAAATTATCCCCTTGAGCGGTGGTGTGTACAATTGTACGCATCGAATTTGGCGCCACAAAGCGTGCCTACCTTTACTTCGAATGGCATGATACACCAAGTGAGCATTGATGCATGCGTTCCGAGTGGACAGCTAGCGCCATCTAGGTTTTTAAGAAGAAAGCTGAGGCCCAAACAAACACTGAAAATGGACACCTCGAGCTTTTACGGATCGGCACGTGAGTACCATGCGGTTCTTTTTTTTTAAAGGCTGTAAAATACTTTTGGAAAAATCATGTTCATTTCAGATGAACGGATAATGTTATCTCTTTTTACAAATGAGAAGGTTTTGTGGTGGTTGCTAAAGATTGCTTTGTGCTGTTCAGTAAAAAATGTGTGTGTACGTTTGTACACATAGCGCTTCAAGGCTGCCTCACTAGATTACATTCCTTTTATAGTTTATGTTGTTTCTAGTCGATAATACTGAGCTTATGCGTTTTTTAATGCGTTATAGGGCTTAAAGACCACTCAATATGCCGGCAAAAAGCATCGACTACTTCGGCTCAGGCTCTTTTAGCCAGAATAGCCGACGGGAACATCTCAGACGGCAACTTCTCGGACAACAAGTTCGAAGAATCCGATGAATTTGGGGTGTGTGTTACTTCTAGACAAATGCAATTTAAAAGTTTTCCAGTTATGAATTTCTATAGCAATCTTATTTTGTTTTTAGCCTGCTTCAAGTGAAGATCATTTTCCAGAATCATTGAGAGCCACTGACAACATCAGCAGCAGTGACGATGAAGAGAATGTGCAGCCGCCACCGACAAAAAGACAGAAAACAGTGGTGAAGTGGATTAAGAAGAAATTCTCCCCTGTAAACACCAAATGCAAATTCATCCCTGACCAAGAATCAACTGTACTTGAACCACTTGAGTACTTAAAGAAGTACTTCACTGAAAAAAATTTTGATGACTTAGCCCATTTTACCAACATTTATGCACTCCAAAGAGACGGAGTTGAACTAAATACTACATCCGGAAAAATTAAAGTTTTCTTTGGTGTAATGATACGCATGGAATTTGAAATTTCCGAGAATCCGCATGTATTGGCAGGAGGACACACGAATACCAGGTATTGCGAATGCTATGACTTGCAAACGCTTTTTCAAGCTTCGAGCAGCACTCCATGCTCCTGATGCCAATGCTCCACTGGATCCAACACGGAACAAGTTTTGGAAAGTAGTGCCAATTATTGATGCAATCAGAAGTCTGTGTCTTGCAGTGCAACCTCTCACAGAAAGCAGCATTGACGAACAGATCGTGCCATTTACTGGAAGGGTCCCCGCCAAGCAGTCTGTGAAGAACAAACCAAATCCAGAAGGAGTTAAAATATTTATCCGTTGCAGCTCAGGCGGCATGGCTCATGATTTTGAGCTATATCAAGGGAAAGGGACTGGTGTAAGCAAGGACCACTCGCATCTCGGCCTTGGTGGATCGGTTGCGATGCGACTTGCGCAAGCGCTCCCTTTTGGTCTGAACGTGAGATGCTACATAGACAATTATTTTTTTTCTGTGCCGCTCTTCCGAGAGCTGAAATTTCTTGGCATTTTGGTGTCTGGTACGATAAGAGCCAACAGACTTCTAGGCTGTGAGCTCAAGAGTGAAAAAGTTTTGAAAAAAGGCACGGCGCGGAAGCTCCGACTTCAAGATTGCCGAAGAGGGAAATGTGGTGATTGTCCGCTAGTACGACAATGGCCCACAACATGGTCTCTACAATTGTAGGACTAGGTAACGCAACTAAGGTGAAGAGACGGAGTGAATCAGTCAAACAACGCGTCGACATCGATTGTCCTCAGGCAATCGCCGAGTACAATCAGTTGATGGGTGGCGTCGACAAGCTTGACTTTTTGATGTCGCTGTATCCCCTGCAAGCAAAGACGAATAAATGGCTAATAAGAGTAATCTCCCACTTTATTTGCTTTGCAGTGTGCAACAGCTGGCTTGAATACATTCGCGACGCTAATGCCGAAAGACTCCCCAAAAAGGAAGTGAAAGACGTTAGGGCTTTCCTGTTGGACATTGCACGGAGCTTGATCGCAAGCAACTGGGCTGAGCCAAACAAGGAGGGAACGACCAAGGACCATCTCTCCAAAGCCTGTCCAAAAATCACATGTCGGCATTCCAATGCCAACAAATTCCACAAAGTTTGACAGCACAAACCACTGGCCCAATCACATCAGTGCCAACTTCCCACAGAGGTGCCGAAACACTGGCTGTGTTTCGAAGTCTCGAGTTTTTTGTCGCAAATGCGGAGTTTTCCTCTGCCTAAGTGCCACAAGAAATTGCTACTATGATTTTCATGTCAGGAAACAGGAGCCATATCAAAGCAATCAAGCTGAGAAGCATTGGAAGTGTACTCTTAAATACTTCTGGCAAGTTCACAGTACCTGAAAACAGTTATTTCTTGTGTAAGTGGCCATCCATATATTTTACAGCCTAGAGGCGCAATGTGTACAAATGTACACATCACAAAAAAAGTTTTTTTGGCTCAATAAACATGTTTTTATTCATATCACTCTGTTTGGGTCACTTTTTAGATGCATATTTGAAACAATTATAATTTTCCTCCGTGTTAGTCTTAATTCGCGCCTGAAGGGGCTACATTTCGAATGTTTACATTAGAGCCAACATTATCTTCACGAGTCAGTGTCATAATGCAGTTCTGTTGAAAAATTTTGCATGACAGTTGTTGTACATACAAGGTACATGCACAGTTGGGTTCATTATGACTTACAAGAAGGGCACATGTGGCTTCGTGAGCTCCAAGATTACCTATGGCTTCCACTAGCTTCTACTTTTATAACTAAACACTGTTCTCTCATTCGCCAATGTTCCTAATGAGAAAATATTATGTGGTCGAAATAAAGACAAATTGTTGCCATGCACAGTGTTTGAGCATGTGAGGCTGAAGGATTATAGCCAATTAGCAAACAATACCTTGGAAATACGAAATTACAAAATTTGGTTAACTAAAATTCATCCACTATGCGCGGGCATCCCATGCACTGCAGCTTTAAGACCTCAAAAGTTGTTGGGCAGTCATTATTCATTCACAGCCATAAGGTTGAAAAATTGGGGGACCCTTCAGCTTCCCCTTGATAATAATATCCTGTCCCTAGTGCATACTTTAAACACTTTGTGCATACTTTTTATTGTATGATGCTACTCATGAAGTTCAAATTGTGGATGGATGGAAAAACGTTTATTACAGAGAAAAAAAATTAAATAAGGGTTAGAAACAGTTGAGTGGGGCCTCTAGTTCAGGGCTCTACTGGCCTCAGCAGCCCGCCGCGCCTGGTGCAGGAGCGCCACTTGGGCCTCCCTTTCCTCGCTGGTGAGCAAGGTCTCCCACTGCTCCATCGTGAATTTTTTCACCGAAATCCGAGGCGTATTAATTTTAGCTGGCCTTAACTTACATTCCCATGTAATGTGAGCAAGTGTTGGCTGTCCTCCACAACACGGGCAAGACTCCGCTTATGCGGTTGGGTGCATCGCATGTTTTAAACGCAGGTGCGGATACGTATTTGTCTGCAGGCGGCGCCACTCATGCGTTTCTTTTACACTCAGCCGAGAATGGGGCGGTGAGTATCGCCGTCGTTGTCGGCGCTGGTGTTCTAAAATATCTTGAGGGGTGTAGGGAGCCTTGAGTAGCAAGTGGGTATCTGGACGAGGGACGATTGCTCGGTGAGTAATAGCTCGAGCTGCACTGTCTGCTCTATCATTACCCGTTTCCGCTACATGTCCGGGGCACCATATGATGCAGTGTTCCTGGTCTAGTGTTGCACCTAGGAGGCGGGCGACGCACGCAGGTACACGGCCGTTAGTGAAATATCGACAGGCTATTAGAGAGTCCGTGAGGATATAAGATTGCTGTTCCATAACGTCTTTGGCTTTGATGGCGAGTGCTACCGCGAGGGCTTCCGCTGTGTCCGCTGAGTTCGTCTTAGCTGAAAAGCACAGGTCAATAAACCTGGGCTGGGCACCGAACCAACAGCGGCCAATGAAAAGCCATGAATACCGCAGCGGGCTGCGTCCGTATAGAGCGTGTCTGGGTCCGTTCTAAACTACTACTATGTAATTGATAAAGCTGAAAGTGGCTTGTGCCAGTGAAGCTTTCACATATGGCTGCATTCTGTGTAATGGGTAGCATGCATGCTTCAAGTGCGAGAAATTACGCATGTGGTCTCAAGGGAATGTGCAGTCATGTCTGTGTTTTTTGTAATGTGTGGCTGGCTTTAAACCATGGAGTTATGATAATCACATGTACTCATACCCGGTGGCACTGCACACTTGTACCATGCAATATTACTGTGATATTACATGTTGCATTGTGAAGCCTTCATAACGCATGAGTGTTGGTAAACCATGAACATTATTTTCACTGCATTTTTAAGCTGAGCAACATATCACTTGACTCGTTACTCACGTAAAAATATTTTCACTGCACTTCTAGGCAGATGCATGGCTTCGTAGTAGAACACATGCTTGCCGCACAAATTGCGTAGGTTCGATTCTCACTCAGATCTGGAAATCTTTATTAGTTATTTCATTTATGTATTTTTTAATTTTCTGATCACATACAAGATGACGATGATTTTTTGTGCACTACCAACAATGCAAATGCCGATGCTGGAATTTCTGCGAAATGAGCTCTTTAACGCTATTTGATAAAATAAGCTTCATATGAGTCATCACAGGCTTCAGTCTTTCCTTTATGCTCTCTGTTGAAAGCATTGTACTGCTGGCCAACTTGCCTATAAAGTTATAATGGCACTCTTCCGTGCTTTCCTGTCACAATGTTCAAGAAAGAAAATGCTCTACACAGATGTGGTCATGCATTCAAGACGGGCATTCTGCACCTGCGGCTGCCATGTGGATTTTGGGCACGGCTACCGTGCCTTCTTTAGCCACGAGTGCGCCACCACTGTTGCTGCCCTCGCCATTTCCTTTTTCCTCAACGCCAAGGCTTCTTATCTTGCCGGTGACCAAGGAGACATCATACTGTAGCTGTGAGGAAGGCTCCTTGAGTTCCAGGTGCAGCTCACCACCTGGAAAGAAAAGACAGCCAGAATGGTAGTCCCACGTGTGCAATAATGTACAGCACGCACTACTGGAATGTCTATAGAAATACTGCAGAACGTCCATTGCAGCCTCATTCACAATTTAAAAGTGGGGCTAGTTGGTATGGCACATCTCAAGTGTAACAGAGCACTGTATAGATGAACAGAGACACAAGAACACGACGTTCTCATCCATTTTTGTGTCATTCGTCTATGCTCATCTATGCAGTGCATTGTTGCACTTCAACATCATTCAACATGCACCACTTCTGCACAACATATTCCAGACTTCTCTGCACACACGTCAGATGATAACAGGAGTTCCAAACACATCCAGTTTCCCGATGCTAGCAGAGGCATGGAAGGCCACAGGTAACGTGAACATACTTGCTAAAATGGGGTCCTCTGAAATTGGAAGGCTTGCTGTGGGATGGGGAAGGGGTGGGGCTGTGAGCAGAAAAATTGTTTTGAGTGACACCTGTGATCGGTCAACAAAGCTATTGAGCCCCCGCACCTACGGCCACGGAACCTTAAAAACAGGCCTGTGGGCCTAGTTGAGACCACAGAGATTCCTAAAATTAACGAGAGGGAGACTCTAATGCAGTGATTGTTTAGCTGACATGGGCATAATGGGTAGTACAAGAATTTGCCTAGTCTTTGTGCTTGCAGGTTTCGAACTAACTTGTGGCTTTGTTTTGGTTTTCTTTTGAATAAAGGAACAAACCATAGTGAACTTTGTGAGCCAATTTGAATTAGCGAGCCTAAAACGGTCAAGGTGATGAAGCATAACTACAAAACCTTTGCTCAACTTAGTCTTGCGGCAAAGCAGTTTCAAGCCACACGTGGCCAAACGGAGCTGAAAGAATGAAGATTAGACAATTCCGCACATTACTCATCATTTTCATGCTGTCTGAAGTGCCGTGCATTGCAGCTCCCATAGACAGTACTGCCAGAGTTCCCTCTAGTGTATTTATGGGAAACTCTATGGCTGAAACACTGTTACTATAGAGGTGTTCCAGTGTTTCTACTCCAACTGTGCCCTCTGCAAACTGTGCCATTAAATGGACCACCACCAGTGTCTACCAGTGTCAGTGGTTGGGCTGCGTGCGTATTGGCGTGTTTCAGCAAACCTTTTGAGCTCCCTGGACATTCCCTTTTCTTTAGTGTGTCACATCAATAAATTCATCTCATTTTAATAAACATTCTTTTGTTTATGCTGTAGAGTTTTGTTTCTCTTTCGAAATTAGGTTGAGGCAGTTTATCATGTGATCTATGGCCACAATCATAAAATAAGGAAAAACTGGTCACAAATTGGGAGTCTCCTGGACAAATTGGGAGCGTTGGCTGCTTTGAATTTGGAAGACAGAGATGCAGCGGCAATTATTAGGTCTAATCATGCAGAACTTTTAAAGGGACACTGAAGTTAAACACTGAATCAGTGTACACTGGTGTAATAGTCTACAATAACTCTATTGTTAATAGGGGTCTGCAAAAATTCAAATTCTAGGACATTATTCCAATGTGCTTGCTGTCTGATTTGCACCTGAATGTCACTACTCTAAGTGGTTGAACTTCTGGAAAATAAATATAATGGTTTTATTCACTTATTATAATATCACAGTAGTACTTCAAAATGATGCACCTAAATTCAACTCTTTTCGAAAACATAGACCTATCAAAATGTTATCGACTATCACCACACTCTGACACCATTAAACACAAGGTAGCCTGGTGACTGCATGCACACAGACTAAAAAAAGTGCAGAGTAAAAGTCAAAGCACGGCCCCTGCTTGAACCATACTTCACTGAATGTAACGTGTACCTTATTTTCTAGTTTTAAATTAAATAGAAATGCATCAGCGCATAATAGTAAACAAGACCTTTCAAAGCTATAGCGTAATGCTATGTTGGCAATAAAAAGGAGGGCAAGTGTAATGCATTTTCACAGAAAGTAAAATTTATTTTCTTGGAAGGTCCTATCCCACAGTGATCTAGTTTTGCTGGCTTCAAGGTCACTTCTGTATATACCTTGATCGCGTGCTGTTTCACGAGTCATTACCTCAACAAGCACAGTGTACACAGACCAGCCCGAGGATGCCTGCAAGCTTGTCATTGAGGTCCAGATATTTTATATTTTCGGCCTGTAAAAGCTTGTCCTGGTCAACATGCAGCTGACGATTTGCTTACTTTGCTTGTGTGTGTTCATGGACAGAGGTGTCGGGCATGCAGAAAAGATGCGATGTAGCTGTCCTTGACATGTCAATAACTGTTATTTAATATGAGTTTTTATAATCAAAAGGGCACGTATCCATTTCTGCTTTACTGAAAGCAAATTTTACGAAGTGCATGTTAAATATCGGTGTGCTTCTTGTCTATTAATTGCTCATTATTTCACGGCAGATATGTTGCTTAGCTTATTGGCAGCTGTAAAAATAAAAGCATGGTTGTAATAAGCGATAGGAAAAAACATGTCGGCTGCCAATAAGTTACAACCACAGGGGCCCACGATTTGGATAGCACTGCTTCAACAGCCAATTGCACAAGTAATACCAGCCTCATTGCCACACTGCCTGTGGTGCTCAAGTGTTGTAGAAAAAATGTGAAGCAGAAAGACGGTGCGATCACAATTTTAAACTCAAGAGGCAGAGCCAGTGAACACAAAGGTGACTACTAACAATTGACATTTAATGCTTCCTCCTGAAGAAGGTATTTGACCGGACTAGGTGGTGAAGATCCATAATGGCTCACAGCGCACATGCACAAAAAAAGGGAGGCACAAAAATAAACTGAAGCTTACTTCAAAGGAACATGCGAATATAAATATGCCGAATTGCCCATTCACGAGTACATACTGTCAAAAGCCTCCTTTGACCATGACAACACGTAATCATTTACTCAAAGTCAAGAAAAGCTTGCAAGGCAGTTCGCTCCCGGCTAGAATGATAACTCTTTAGTGGATAGCATTATTAAAGGTTTACTCATTGCATTTTTTTCTTCAATTGGCACAGCTTCAATAATCAACCTTTTTTTTTTTCTCACATGACGTTTTAGCAATTACGGTAGTGTCACCAAAGACAGGAGTGCAGCCACAATTGCATAGGCAATTCTGCATATTTCGACTCGCATGTTCTTTCGAAATAATATTCAGTTGCTAGTGAGCACTTGTCTTTGTGTATCCATTCTTCGTCTGTGTCTGTGAGTACACTGTGAGCTACTATGGGCCTCCTCCCGAGTCTGTACAGAGCATGTGCGAAGGCTTCTTACTAGATCACTGCACTAATCTTGTTCATTCAGGTCTCCATGGTTCAAAAAATTACTCTTTCCTGGTCAAAAACAGCTTCTCAGCTTCTGTATTTCTGATCAGGACAAAGTGTGATTTTCTTCAACAGTGGTGACTAGCATGGATAAGATCGGTGCAGCAATCAAGTAGAGTGCTTTTGCGCATGCTCTGTACAGACTCTGGAGGAGGTGTTTTTTTCCAAAATAAACGTTAATCGTTTTAGCCACCTCTGTTTTCAGTCTCTTCTTCTGTCAGTCAGTTTTCCTCCCTTTTGATGTTTTAGCGGCTTTCTTCAACATTAGTTATCTGCCAACTTGCCAAACACAATGCCATAAATTTGAATAGGTAACGCCGGACAGTTCACTTGCCTAGTAGGATGTCACTGAACGAGGCTGAAAATGTCTGGCTCCACTGCCTCGAAGGATTTAGGGCTAGTTCCAGCTCAAAGGGGGTCACGATCGGTTGGAAGAACTCCTTGGAATCGAGCAGAGTGTTCTCAGGGCATGCGACAAGCACGTAAACGTCAATCTCCTGGAAATTGGCGAGCTTGGCCACGTTGAGCTTGCCCGTAACGAGCGTGTATGGCTTCTTCCCAGCATTCCGAATCAGCTTCTTCAGGTGGCCGATCGCCGAGAGGTAACTTTGAACCCCTAGGGTGCCTGCGAGAATCCCCACAATGTGGGCGTCCTTTGCCTTCTCAACAAGGTAGTAACGACGCATGAGCTGCCGGTTGACTGCCAAGCTTTCTCGACGAATGTCTTGAGTGTTTGGGTTGTAAGAGTAGCACACACAACTGTTAAACGTGAACACGATGTTTGTCAGTGTTCCGTTCTCTGGTCCAATGAACAGTATAGAATAGTCTGCGAGGCTGGTGTTTTCTTCAATACAAAATGTCCGTGAGCACTTCGTTATAACCTGTGTTCCTCTGCTGCGGTTCTTATTGCCTTGCTGCACAGATGGTATGACCAGTTCAGAGCAGACGGCATTCCCGAACAGGGCTGAAATCTTCGCAAAAACGTCACCTGCAGAAAGGCATGAAAGTCGGATTTGAAATCTGAAGAACAAAAAAGGTATGCAAATGCAACTTGGCTGTGTTACGCAAGGTTACTAGAGTATAAAGTTGGGCATGTTGGTAAGACATAGATGATCGACGTAGTGCGTTTAGAAACATAGGACAAGGGAAGGGACAGAAGGGAGCGCTTACTTCCAACAAAATTTTTATTTCAAGGAGCATACATATATATGCTCACGAAATTCGAAGACAACAGATAAACAGATGAAAAACCCTCTATTGCCATGCGCTAAAAACTTATGATCTCAAAAACGACAATTCCTTTTCATAAAGACCGAGAGAAGGAGTGCTGACGCAGTTCAGCCCTAATCTACTAATCTTTTCTGCTTCAGTAATCTCCCTTGTCACTTTATTTCTGTTTTTCCTATGATTACCGTACCATGAAAAAGTGGTTTGCAGCCACACGTGTTGCAATGTAGTGCCAAAAAACCATCTCTACCATTTCTTACGTTGCAAGCGTGACCGAAGTTTGCGGTAGAGCCAAGGCTTTCCGCACCTGAAAGGCTCTCCTTGGTCCGCCAAATTTCTGGGAAGGCAACTGACTCGGAACATGACCGGTGTGTGTCAGCAGGTGTTGATGTGCTTCTTCGTTCGAAGCAACACTCTTCCAAATTGCCGCTGAGAAAAGTGGAGGCCTACCTTAGGAACAACGCCCTCGCCGTACTTCCAGCCGACAAGGAAGGAGGGTTTGCTGTTCTTTCTTACAAGCTTTTCAGTTCTAAAGCAAGTGAAGCTGTTTCATCTGTTTTCAAAAGTTACGACAATGTTGTTCTTTCTAAAGTCAAGTCTCAGGCAAAAAAGATGTGTGAAAAGCTCGACCTCAGTAAACTTGTTAGTGACATAGCAAGTAGCAAAAAAGGTTGTCTTGAGGTATTCTTCAGTGCGAAAACACATAAGCCTGAAAAACCATTTTGTGTTATCGTTTCAGAAAATGGCACGTGGCAAAAAAATGTTGCGTTGTTTTTACAAAGTAAGCTTGGTCTATTAACAGTAGATGACCCATTTCTCGTGAAAAATTCCCATCAAGTTCTTGATTTCGTCCGACCCCGTTCGAATCAGCACATGTGTGGTTTTTCCATTGATGTAAAAGATCTGTATTATTCGTTGCCTCACAAATCGATTCTTAGTTGTGTAGAAGAGTGCATTGACATGCTTGGTAGCATAACATTTCAGAATAGTGCTGGTATATCGTCTAGTAGCTTTTTAAAACTTTTATCCTTTTATTTGAAATCTACTTTTATTCAATGGAACGGGAAGCCCCACCTTCAAAAGAAAGGAGGGCATTTGTATTGGATCATGTATTGCTCCAATCTTAAGTGATTTGTTTTTAGCCAAGCTTGACAGAACCGTTTCCGGTGACCTTAGTGACAACCGAATCATGCGCATCTTTAGATTTGTTGACGACTTCCTCATTCTTTTTGACTGTGACCCCACTTTTTGTGCCCTAGATATCTTCAACTTCATCAAGGAGCGGTTTAGTCCCCTTGTTTTAACCCATGAGTTGCCTGTCAATAACACTCTCAGATTTTTAGATATCGCTCTCATTTTTCACCTAGACCACATTTGTTGGATGTACAAGCCGAGGAGTAACAAACCCTTGATTCCGTACCACTCAGCCCATACTAAGCTCGTAAGACGAGGCATTGTAAATATGTGCTTTAGTAATGCCTTACAGAGGTCTTGTCCACATCTGATGGCAGCTAGTTTCAAGGAACAAGCAGAACGACTTCTGGACACTGGCTACCCCTCTCACGTACAGGTTTCCGTCGCGGGTATTCTGGTCAAGAAGCTTCAGTCCTTGCAGCAAGCTCTCCCTCATGATGAGCCAGTAAGACGTCAGAAGCTTGCCGTAGTGCCTTATCTGCATGGAATCTCCCACAACTTGAAAAAGGTTGGGGAGCGGGCCAATGTAAAAGTGGTGTTTTCTGCCCCGAAAAAGCTCTCGTACTTGTGTATGAAAGTTGTTTCACATGCAAAACCGGGATGGTCTAAAAAGCACTTAACACTGTTTGTCACATGCGCGCAATTTGTAATCTATCAGATACCTCTTTCATGCGGTAAATACTACATAGGACAAACTGGCTGGTGCATTAATGACCGGCTCCGCGAACACGCTGCAACGTAAGAAATGGTCGAGATGGTTTTTTGGCACTACATTGCAGCACGTGTGGCTGCAAACCACTTTTTCATGGTACAGTAATCATAGAAAAAAACAGAAATAAAGTGACAAGGGAGATTATTGAAGCAGAAAAAATTAGTAGATTAGGGCTGAACTGCGTCAGCACTCCTTCTCTCGGTCTTTGTGAAAAAGAATTGTCGTTTTTGAGATCATAAGTTTTTAGCGCATGGCAATAGAGGGTTTTTCATCTGTTTATCTGTTGTCTTCGAATTTCGTGAGCATATATATGTACGCTCCTCGAAATAAAGATTTTGTTGGAAGTAAGCGCTCCCTTCTGTCCCTTCCCTTGTCCTATGTTTCTAAATGCGCTACGTCGATCAATTACGCAAGGCGCTTCTTCAGCACAGATATCTCCTTCAAGTGCTAGCTACTTCTGCTTCTGAAAAATCTGGTTTCGCCGTAACTCCTGTGTCTACAGAATGATAAAAGGTGTGCAGCTGAATAACAGGTCCATCGTGTGAGTTAGAATAGGGATCCACATGACAACTCTTAAGGACAACCATTACAGCATTCCATACTCCACTCTATCTTATCTTGGATACCTGATGAAAAAATTCATAAGCAGGGGTTGTGTGCCTGAGACGACGTTTTGACAAGCGCACTAGTCTTCCTCAAGGCTAGAACAGAACCGTGGTTGTCAGAAGCACCACTTAACAACGGTAAGCTGGCAATGCTTAGAAGGAGGGCAGGGCTTAACTCTCATGTGTTTTTTTTTACTATACTGAATAGATTCAAGAGCCCCTTTAGAAATTTTTATACCTTTTGGTTGGAGTGTATTGAACTTTCGAACAAGGTATGGCTGTGTATATTTTTTGTATCTAGCGGGCAGGAAGTATGACTGAAGTATTATATAGAGTTTCAGATCATCGAAGTAGTGTCCTGTCACATTAAAATGCTGCGCCACTGCTTTTGGTAATTTCCTTGCTCTGTCAGCGGAATCACCGTTTAGGGAGACAGGTAAGCAAAAGCATTGAAAAAAATCATTTCTTTTTGCATTATTTGAAATCTGCAGCATTTTCTGAACCAGAATCAGTCATTTGTTTGTCTTAGTACGATTTTTCCCTCTAAAAATGACATATTTTTCCCATACTGCGTAGCAAGGGATTTCTTGCAGTTCAGGCATCATAGCCATATGAAGAAGTAACAGTTTGCAAGCTGGAGTTCATTTAGAGCATTCAAAAAAAAAAAATGGGCCCAGAACTGCAAAAACAAAAGAAAATGGAGGAATCAAGCCTTCTGTTGGAAAATTTATATCTGGCCGGCGACGTCTAAGCGGTGTCATCATTGGCAGGCACCAAAACTATTAATGTTGGGCCATTAAAAAAATTAGAGCCAGCCTGGAGGGCACACGAAAAGCTGCTGTCCGGTCTACATATTTCCACAGGGCATCAAAAACTACCGATAAATCCAATGGCCTTTGCTTGAAGAACTCTGAAACTGTGTAAATTCAACAAAGCCCAGTTGAATGATGAACCATTTGTTCATGAAGGACATTTTCCAGCATCTGTTATTAAGGCTGTTAAGCCAAATTATGTGGAACTGGCTCATCCAGAATTACTTTCTCCGTGGGAAAACCCAAAATGATAACGAGTCGTTGGATTGTCATGTGCTAGAGCGATCCAAAACAATGTTTCCCTCGAGCTCCATACAATGTAAATATGCATTCTTGATGAATTTATAATGATGGAAATATAGCCCGTGTGAATGTGCTGTACTATTCTGGAGTTTTACTGAGGCACTGCACAGTGCAGGGCCTATACACCCTCAACAGTACTGTGCTGACACGGTTGCATAGCAGGTGAAAAATGAGGCCCATCAGCCAAGACGTTTCAACACAAAAAGAAAAAAAATTACATTGGCAATGAGTATCTGCCTATTGAGCAAGTCTGTCCTTTTGCTGTTATTTCATTGTAACTTTGAAGTATTGCAGATTTCGAACTTTAGATACGATTATCTCAGAACATGCTTTCATTGCACTTATGTTCTTTTTTTCTCAGCAACCACAGTGTCTAGAATCATACTTTTCGGCCAGTATTTAGATGACGTAATGGAAAGTATACTGAAGCAGAATTATTGTTGTGGGAGGAAGTACTATTCTGCAACAGAACATCTAATAGCTATTATTGAGTGATAATTAGGTACCTGAAGTAAAAATTAACAAAGAATGAGCATTACAATTTTTAGTGCTTAATATGCTTTAGTAAAAAGAGGAATGACTCATGATTACAATGACAGTAAAATAATTACTGTATCTTTTATGGTTATGAAGAAAAAGATACATAAACTTCACCTAAAATATATGGCGGGTATAGGGCTTGCCGTGTTTCCTTAACCTAACATTAATAGGCAGTCCCACTTTGTCAATGTGCTGTCTGTGACAATATGAACACTAGATCATGTAGATAATGTTCGTACTAGTGCAGGTGCATTTCATGTCATCTTGAAGGTGTTTGCAAGTCTTGCATCTTGGACTGGAGCAAGGTGTTATGCACACAGTAGGATGCAGGTTTACTTTTGCATGCACTAACATGTCCTTAAAATTTCTACTGAAGTGATATATGACCTTATCTCAGGCACTTCTCTAAGGTGCTCGTTACTTGCCAGTAGGGATATTGTTTATGTTTGGGAGTGCGTTTGAGTATTTGGTTATAAATGCTGGTGGCCAGTTGGGTTGTGCTACGGGGGTCTTTTAGGGGCAAAGCTCCTTGTGACGTCACCCATTCGTCTCCCGTTATCCTTTGTAACCTACGGTGGCACATACCCGTTTGTAA